TCGGAACTGACTCCCCTTCACTCACACAGCGGTTCTGATATGCGCAACCTGAAATTAATGAACACGTTAATGTCCCAGTGAATCTGAAGTGAATGCAAGAAGTCGCCCTATGAGATCACGAATTGATGACATTAAAGAGCTTCTACAACGACAAAGAATGACAATAGTCAGGCAATGAATGGTAAACTGTTGCTACCCACGTCGCTAAACGTCAAAGCTAGAAATCGATAATGATGATGATGGATAATCAGTAGAGCTGCGATGGCGCAGAGTTTGACGATCACTTACCGACCCCAAGTTCTTGGATTCAAATCCTTAAATCAGCAAAACCACTACTCGTTTAAAGAGAGGATTTCTTCATTCAGCCTAATTTTATTTCACCTGGCGTTATCATCCTCAAAACATCTGGTCTGATACCTAAAGTGTTACACAAGGCATGAACTCTGTTATCCGGAGACGCTTTCCAGAATATCTGCAGTGTTTACTATAGTGAGCTGAATTCACCAACGTCAACATCCGAGGCCCCAATGATAAATGTAGGCCTTTACATTTTACCACCCCACAAAATCACAAGAATCACGGATCAGGTCAACCATCTTATCTAGCCTAATCCATTTGACCAAGCCTTCAGATATTTATCTGTTTGCTCTTTACCCACTAGTCTTGTCAGGTGTCATAAAGTTCTTGATTTCCCTTCTTCAGAACAGGAAAACGTTTGTGTCTGTGTTTGCGTGCATGTCTCTGTGTGTATTTGTGTGTGTGTGTGTGTGTATGAGTGTGTGTGTGTGTATGAGTGTGTGTGTGTATGAGTGTGTGTGTGTAAATAAATGTGTGTGTGTGTGTGTGTGTGTGTGTGGGTGACGAGAGAGGCACTAGACAGGCAGTACCGCACGTAGAAAGATAGAGATAGTCACGCAGGTAAAATGATTAATGGACAGACAAGCAGATTGAAGGACGAAAAAAAAAAAGGGCAGGTATACATTTAAAAGAAAAGCAGAGAAGATCTAGAATACAATACACGCTGTGTGACAGAAACTTGCGACAGAAAAGACCCACCCCATTCTATCACTTGAAGCGAGTAAGTTGCAGTCCAGGAGTCTCCTTCTTTGGTACACTGGTATTTCTGGCACCCAGCAGAGGTGGTGTCGTTAACAGAGAGACAGGTGGACTTGAACTCACACCCTAGAATATAAGCGACAAGTCTTGTTGCTTAATACGTATTCATTTGTCTTTCTGTCACAAAGGATAATGTAATGTATCCAGTAAAGTAGGAAAAGTAATAGAAAATACTAAACTTAAATTATTTAATTTCGATGTCAAATCAGTATTGTTGTAAAGAGCGAACACATGGAGAACAACTAAGGCAATTACTAATAAGCTAAACACATTCATTAACTGGCGCCTGCTCAGAATAGAGGGAATTAAATGGTATGCCGGAATCACTAATATTGAGTTTTGGGAGGGAACTAATTCAGTTCCAGTGGACCAAAGGGTGAAGAAAAGACGCTGGCGCTGGATAAGACACACGTTAAGAAAACATGAGAACAATATAACTAGAATGTCTTTGTACTGGAACTCATAATCATCAGTCAGCAAGGTCGTTTACAGAACGTCACTCTCTTCACGACACGCCTGAAAGTATCCATTTTCCTAGCTAGCTGTCCAGCCCCATGTGCTTTCAGTGCCAATACATCTTCAATGTCCTGCATCCATCTTCGCAGAGGTCAACCGCTGTCCGGCTTAAACCTTCTTTTCCAGCCCACTATGACGTTTGGTGTGGCCAAAATACTTTAACTTTCGGGACAGGACGCTGTTTATGAGCCAGTTCTCTTTGATGTTTAAAACGTATAGAATGTCCATGTTTTTCTGTAACTTTTACATTCATCAGCTCTGATCTTTTTCTTCGGTAATTTAGTGAGCGTCCAGGACTAAGAACCGTAAGCTGCCACAGGAAAAATGCATAATCTTAATATTTTTACTGTAACTAATTTACAGGTGCTTTGCCATAGAAAACCACAGGGGTGTAGAAATAAAGGAAGACCAAAAAATGCACAGAGAAGCAAGCTAGAAAGTGAAGTTAAAATTATGAGGGGATAGCTGAATGCGATGAAATAGGATAGAACGAAAAGGATTAAGTTGGTTTAGGGTCTGTGCTCCATGGGTTAGAAAGACAGAAGAAGAAAAAGAAGAAGAAGAAGAAGAAGAAGAAGAAGAAGAAGAAGAAGAAGAAGAAGAAGAAGAAGAAAGAAGAAGAAGAAAGAAGAAGAAGAAGAAGAAGAAGAAGAAGAAGAAGAAGAAGAAGAAGAAGAAGGAAGAAGAAGAAGAAGAAGAAGTAGAAGAAAAAGAAGAAGAAGAAGAAGAAGAAGAAGAAGAAGAAGAAGAAGAAGAAAAGAAAGAAGAGGAAGACGAAGAAGAAGAAGAAAGAAGAAGAAGAAGAAGAAGAAGAAGAAGAAAGAAGAAGAAGAAGAAGAAGAAGTCTGAAGAAGAAGAGAAGAAGAAGAAGAAGAAGAAGAAGAAGAAGAAGAAGAAGAGAAAAAGAAGAGGAAGAAGAAGAAGAAGAAGAGGAAGAAGAAGAAGAAGAAGAAAGAAGAAGAAGAAGAAGAAGAAAGAAGAAAGAAGAAGAAAGAAGAAGAAGAAGAAAGAAGAAGAAGAAGAAGAAGAAGAAGAAGAAAGAAGAAGAAGAAGAAGAAAGAAGAAGAAGAAGAAGAAAGAAGAAGAAGAAGAAGAAAGAAGAAGAAGAGAGAAGAAGAAGAAGAAGAAGAAGAGAAGAAGAAGAAGAAGAAGAAGAAGAAGAAGAAGAAGAAGAAGAAGAAGAAGAAGGAAGAAGAAGAAGAAGAAGAAGAAGAAGAAGAAGAAGAAGAAGAAGAAGAAGAAGAAGAAGAAGAAGAAGAAGAAGAAGAAGAAGAAGAAGAAGAAGAAGAAGAAGAAGAAGAAGAAGAAGAAGTAAAGGACACTTTTCCACGCCTTAGGCGTATTGGGCATATTGGGTTAGACCCACATTTTACAGCCCAATCGGCACTCGGGGGGAGATAATGGTCAACATCACGCTGGCCACATGTTTCCGAGTGTAACAGGGAGACGTCATCACTTGTTTGTTAGGAAGTAGACAATTGCGCATAGCTAAGATGTACCGAGATCAACAAGTTTTGGTAACTCTATTTTCCCTGCCAAAACTAACTATTGATGTCATCACTTGTTTGTCAGGAGGTAGAATATTGCGTAGTAGTTGATGGGAAGAAAATCAAAAGGTCTTAGCAACAATATTCTGTAAATAGTATTTAATGTTATTGTTGACGTGCCCTGTCAGAGAGGACGTAGTAGTACTTGCTTTCTGGAAGCTCTATGACGTCAACTGTCAATTTAATTACTGTATTTGCGAAAAGATGAATAAGATGATGAAATCTGATGCAGTTGAGATGTAATTATAAAGTCCCACGTGAGAACGCACATAGTAAAGAAGTTTGAGCCTACAAGAATATTCTAGAAGCAGAAAAAGTGAGGGGAAAAAAAAATAACTAGCATTCCAGCATCTAGGAATAAAAAAAAGAGTAACAAACTACTTTAGCAACTTTCAGGTGTAAAGATGTCAGCCCAACAACACTAAAGGCCTTCAGTCGATGAGACATAGAAGACGAGGGACTAGTAACATGGATCTTCATAGAGCACTTTTCAGTTGCGGAGATGCTAACTCAACACTAGAAAAAGAAGAGCCAGTCACATTGAGCCTCGAAGACAGTCACTAGAGTGGAGACATGAAACAAGACATCGAGCTACAGAGACAACACACAAGATACACGGATCTATGGTTAACAGGAATACATCAGACAGAAACACTATTTAGATGTTAAAGTCGACGAGCAAACCGTTAGTACCAAACAGTACTAGAAGCCAGGTGGCCTTTACGGACACTAGAGCCAGCTAGCAAAGTAACTAGAGATGGAGAACACAACGAGACTTTAGGAGTATGTAGCCATAGGGAGAACACAGCGCCATTCATAATATCATTGATATTGTTGGTGACATTGCTGAAGTATCACAATAAGGACAGTACAGACAAGAACAGTTGTTCCCAGACATTTTAATTTTCAAGCATCAGAGTCACGTGAGAAGCATGCAGCTAGCGAGACATCATCATCACTACTACCGACATGACCTTCTCCTCGTTTATAATCTTCCAATCGACTCCTCCTGTAGCAAAACTAAAGACAAACATGGGTGTGTCATCGACCTGATGCGACGAAAAACATAGCTTTGCTAAACCAGGACTAAACCTTGTACCCACTCAAGGCTGGGTCGACCTGGGTGGCAGATATTTTTTTTTTTTTGAAAAGCTACAGATGTACAGAAAATGTAAAACTGACGGATCAGCCATGTGTACATATGAATTAGAACCTGAAACAACAGATTACGTCCTCCAAGACCATTCCAGATACAACACACTGAGGCTAAACTTGTGGCCACGAGAAACACCGGTGCAAGCCAAACTTATCGGGCCGCTGACTGAATTAAAACAGACACCTAAATTCATACTAGGGACAGAACTGCCTATATAGATAATCTACTTCAAGCTAAAGAAAGAAAGAAAGAAAGAAAGAAAGAAAGAAAGAAAGAAAAAGAAAGAAAGAAAGAAAGAAAGAAAGAAGAAAGAAAGAAAGAAAATAAGAAAGAAAAGAAAGAAAGAAAGAAAGAGAAAGAAAAGAAAGAAAGAAAAGATAAAGAAAGAAGAAAGAAAAGAAAGAAAGAACTTCAAGAAGAAAGAAAGAAAGAAAGAAAGAAAGAAAGAAAGAAAGAAAGAAAGAAAGAAGAAGAAGAAAAAGAAGAAGAAGAAGAAGAAGAAGAAGAAGAAGAAGAAGAAGAAGAAGAAGAAGAAGAAGAAGAAGAAGAAGAAGAAGAAGAAGAAGAAGAAGAAGAAGAAGAAGAAGAAGAAGAAGAAGAAGAAGAAGAAGAAGAAGCTACGTAAAATGGATTCCAGATGTAGAGTCAGTTTTTATGGCCTAGATAATAGTATCAGCTGTAGATGATTTGCCAACAAATCAGTTTGTGTTGATTTCTCCCATATACCAATTACTTCCTGCATTTACCACTTCTGCAGTGTAGGCGGGAGGGGGTCTTAGGAGCCTGAGCATTTAATGTAGCATGGCTTGTATGTCTGCACGGACTCTGTATGTGAGGATTTTATTTTTGCCCTAAACAAAACAAAAAACAAACACGTTACCTATAATTTGAACTGGCTCTGCCGCATTTAAGTCCAGCTTTCTAGTGGTATAAGCAATGTTTCCATTTTGATGAAGTAGAGTGGAGGAGATTATGCGATCCAGTGCCCCAGAGAACTTAAGTTTACAGTAGTTTAACTGCTAGTAGGACTCGCACACAGAATGAACGTACGATAGAAACTTATAAATGTTGCTTGTCAGGTAGGAAGGGACTGTCAAGAAGGTAGGTAAACAAACTGTTGAATACTGCTTGTCGAAGTCTGATCTAGTGAGCCACAAAACAATGCAGAGTGACATTCTTCAAAATACTAGTGCAAAATTAGACGAATGACATAAAATATAATTAAATTGTACTTATAATCTTCAAAAATTAATTAACTGATCTCTAGCAAAAAAAAGAGGGAATTGAATGGTATAATAGAATTACCAATGTAGAGCTTTGATACAAAAATAAACACGTTCCCGTGGTCTAAGAGGTGAAGAAAAGACGCCGGCGTTGGATAGGAACACTTGAAAACAGTATAACTAGAATGTCTGTGTACTGGAACCCACAGGGGCATAACAAATGAAAGAAAAAAAAAAAAAAAAGCTTGGAGAAGGGAACTAGAGAGGGAAGTTAAACTGATAGAGAGAACATAGGGAGAGCTGCATGAGTTAGCGAACGACAGAACGACTTGGTGTGAGTTGGTTGAGGGCCTATGCCTTATTGGTGGTTTATAACACAATAAGAAGACACTGTTTTTATAATAGGACGAGGAACCTGAGCTTTTTTGAGCAATTAATGTAATCGTCTATCCCTTTCCTTTTGTGAAAGGTTAACGTCAGGCATATAGGCCTAGACTTATAAAGACGGATTGATAATCAATGGGTCATATGACCATCATTAGGCCGACCGCCTTTACTTAACAAGGTATTATCTGGTACCATTTCAGGCTGGGTCAACCTCTGAGCCAAAGTGAAATGTGAAGAAAGAAATATATACAAGATTGGATTTGAACTCTTGACCTTCATATGGGAGACAAGTGTTTAGTGGCTACGCTACCGTACCAATATTGGTGAGGGGGCGGGGGGGGGAGGGGGAGAGAATACACCCACTGACCGTTAACAAGCATGTCGTACAAGGTGACTAATTATGGCTGCTCCCTTCGAAGTCAGACTGCATTTGCATAGGAGACAAGGAACTAACAGTCAATGAAATAAGCAAGGTCTGTAAAACGGATCTGAACGCAAAACTTGAGTTCTAGAGCAAAACCAAGGTCCAGAAACGGACGGACAACGAGAAATTTCTGCCGGGGCGGCATTAGGTGAACATGAGGAATACGAAGAAGAAGCAGTATGAATTAGAAAGTTTTCTTAATTGTTTTGGAATTTTCTTGTGCGGGTGTTGGCGGGGGGAGGGGGGGGGGGGGTGGTTAGATTTACAAACCCTCCATCATATGTTGTCTCCCAGAATTATGAACGCATACAATTTCACACCTCAGAGAATTATCTGGTGGATGAAAACATTGAGATAAGTTGATTCAACAACCGACATCACAGCAGTCGAGGCATTCCCATAAGCGCTCTGTCCCCATCTTCAGCAGCCAGCGCAGATAACGTTTACCACTTATACTGTAGATATGGATTCATCACAAAAAAAGAGACACAATACAAGAAAACATAACCTTCTTTAATGAGCTCGTAATGGAAGCCGCCATTGCTGGGCCCACATATTCTCTCGAAAGCATCCTACACCGTACGTGTCGCCCAAAGGAAAACATTTGCCATCTCTTTCGCAGCCTGTGAAAAAAAAAAGAAAAAAAAAAGGTAAACCAATGTGAGCAATGAATGAAGTAATGAGTCAATGAATAAATGAACGGAGAAATGAATGAGGAACTAACATCATCGCATTCAGGATACACCCACACGTGGTCTGTCTCTTTTTTGATACTCAACAAAGAGTTTTGAGGCCAACTGCACCTACTGCAACCTGTTTAAACTCGGCACATGTTTCGTCTTTTCTTCCATCAAACCCGTGTTGATATCCACTGGCCTATGACCTCTGGTGCCTACCACTGAATATATACGTCAAAAACAACATATACTTCTCGTCCAGTTTAGGACGAAATTTTTCGTTATTTGAAGCCCTACTCTGGCTCTTGCCAGGGGCCGCAATATAGTCTGGCCATAAATATGGCCTAAAGGCTGAACGCGGTTTCTGGGACCTCTCCACGGTGATCCTCACCGGCATGGTGGTACATTGTGTCATCGGGATTTTATCGCTTGAGTGATGTCCTGGTGGTGTAGAAAGTCAGACCACTAAATCATTCTTTCGAAATTGTTAAAACAAAAAAAAAAGTACAGTTCCCTTTTTACGCCTTTAGGCTATCGGGCCTATAGGAAGGGCACCCACATTTTTACAGACCAATCGGCACTAGGTGGATAATGTGGTCAGCATTACTTGGCCGTCTTTGCTTCCCCAGAACATACAACCTGGTACCCATTTAAGCCTGGGTTTCGAAGTAAAGATATTCTGTCTTGTGGCACTGTCCACTTGAGCCCATGTCTGATTTATCGTAAAGTAGCCCACAGCCCAGAGCGGCCAAAGCAGCCAAAGTCATGAGCATATCTTTGACTTAGTGCAAACTCATTTACAGACTGGGCGCAAGTGGGGAAAATGAGGGGGAGGGGTTGGGGGGGGGGGGGGGGAGGAAAGAGGGCTTGAAAACCAAGATCAGTTATAGAAAATATAGAATAATATTAAAATTAAATTTACTGTCACTAGTCAAATGCACGTACCATATTCGTTAGGCAAAATGTTGCTGTCATTGCAGAAATACTTAACACAGGGGCCGGTTAGCGACGTCACAAATATCTCGCCATCGTTAGCAGTTATATCAGACAGTTGACATAGATTTGCCAGCTGAAATGTAATAAAACACATTGCAGGAATGGGTAGATCTTGTTACAGACATTCTGTTTTAGAGAATCTTTGTTAGAAACTTCTGTTAGCCACAATCCATATTAGATGCAAACTGTGTTTAAACGCACTGAGTTTAGGAAACATTCTGTATTAAAACATATATTAGAGACATTCTTTGTTATAGTCCTTTCCAAAGTCGTGCCTAACTTTAAAAAAAAAAAATTTAACCAAAGACTGTTAGGTGTAAATTTGTGTGAAATGTAGCAAGCAACTTGTTAATAATAATGTCCTTATAGGAGAATAATTAAAATGTACACTCATACTTAGTTTATACTTCGTCCTAATTTGGAATGTGTAAAAAAAAAAAAAAAGGCACAAATTCAAAGTACTCTGCTAGCATGTTTACATTAATCGATTGTCATGAAGTTGGCAGTGGGTGGATACGTCATGAAATGCCATAATACGTATGTAATACAATTTTATCTGAAAAATGAAGCACTGGAACCCGCACTGGAAATATTTGATTTAGACTGTAGAAGAAATAGTCTAAGATAATGACAGTTTGCAAAAGAGATCATGAATCTCAAAGACATAGTTTTTGCTATAATGATCGTGAATCTAAGAAACGTTGTTTTTGCTATAAACATGGAATGACTGACAGCCTTTTTTTTTTAAAACCCCACCAGGACATCACACTGAGGGATAAACCCCTGGTGACACAAAGCGGCACCATTCAGATGAGGATCGCCCGTGGAGAGGTCCCAAAAATCCGGTTCAACCGTTAGGTTATATTAGGGCCCCGACAACAACCAGGATGGGGTTTCAAAATAACTAATAATTCGTCACACATGGGGACGGGAATATAAAGATAGCAAATCTAGGAGACATTGTTTGTTGGAGAAATTGTATGTTAGAGGTTTGTTATAGTATAATTTTGAGATAGTTTGCATTGGAAAGTGTATTTTATCAACATTCTATGATGAAGATGATCCTGTTTTCACTGCCTATCGTGTCCCTAGGTGTGTTGTGGCTGACAATATCTATTCATCTAACTCTACGAGTTTTAATCTATACAATAACATTTATTTTAAATTATTTTTCCAGCTACCCTACCCTTTCCTTCTGTTTTCTTCCTTTTGTCCATTTCAGCTGCGTCAAAGGTTAACATTTGATCGGTTTTCGAATTAGGGCACGCTCGGCTGCCCGGTATCCTGCGATGCTCTGGAGTCTCTGTTTTCAACTCAAATATGTTTTTTCTTTCATTTTGTCTTTATCATTGTGGATATATGTATGTATATACATATATGTGTGTGTGTGTGTGTGTTTGTGTGTGTGTGTGTGTTTGTGTCTGCCTGCCCGCATTTCTCTATCAGTTTGTTAATATGCATGTTCTTCGTACCTTTCTTCTTTCCTTCCTTGCTTGCTTGCTTCCTTCTTTCCTTCCTGCCTTACTCTATCCTTTTCCTATTTCTATATTCGTGATTGTTCTTTTTTCCTTCTATTAAAAAAAATAAAATAAACACTAACCTTGCCTCACCCGAACATCAGTCAACGAGCTGCACCCCACAATGCACAGCAAACCAGCAAGAAGTCTGAAAATGTCACAACATCACAACTGAGCACAAAATTCATCACCGATGATTGTAGAACATATAAGTGCAGCATGGTATGTCCATGTAGCCTCTAGTGTGAAAAGCTTCTTTTTATGGGCCCATAAATGCTCGTTTGAAAGTAAACCGGCACCCTTCTCCCAGCAGTCCTGTCATTAGTGTATTCACACAATTCAACACGTACAAGAATCCACAAGTGTCTACACACACACACACACACACACACACACACACACACACACACACGTGCAAAAACTCCCGAGCGCACGCACAGA